CAAAGGGGACTTACAAAAAAGATTAGGACAAACCTTTTAGTAGGGCCTGTTATGAAATGACAAGTGTCAATAGTTTTAAACTAAAAGAGGACAGACCAAGATAAGAAATAAATACTTTACAATAAAGATGGTGAAACACTGGCACAGATTGTCCAGATAAGTGGTAGTTGCCCCATCCCTGGAAAAATTCAAGATCAAATTGGAGAGGTCTGTGAAAAACCTGGTCTTGTTGAAGATGTCCCTGCCAAATGCAGGAGGTGGATCAATGACCTCTAAAAGTTTGTTCAAACCCAAAGCATTCTATGACTCTACCAAAATGGGCCACATGGCAAAGGACATTAATAACCCGGTATTTCATAAACCTGTTATTTGTATTTCCCTTTTTCTCTAGAGGCAATAGGGCTGTGGCAGATTGCACTAGGACAGGAACAAACAGACTGACCAGCCTGCTGGAATGCCAAGCCTACTTCTTCAGAAAATTAAAAGATGATTATTTGAGATACAAACCAGACATAACTGAATGTGAAAAAAGTGATTCAATTGCATTCTGGGCTACATTACAAAAAGTGTAAGCTGCAGAGCAAAGACACCTCGTGCACTCAGTGCTGGTGATATTGCAGATGGAATGCTGGGTCCAGTTCTGGAGACCTGAGTTCTGTGGTCTGTAAGATGAGGCTGAGGGAAAGTCAGTCAGGACACAGTGTGGAAAGGTAGAGGATAAGGGGGATCTCACACAGACCATCACACCTTCACAGAGTGTTAGAAAAATAACACTGCTCCCAACACCTCTCAGCAGTGGCAGAACAGGGTGCAACAGCTACAAATTAAGAGAAAAACTCTCGATTATGTGCTACTGTTGCAGCAGAACAGGATACCCAGAGGGTCTGTATAACCTTCACCCCAGCAGTTTTCAAGGCCCAGACCAAAACACCTACGACATGATCTATCAGTGGCAAAAGTCTCACTGTCAGGCTGGATTGGACAACTTCCAGACATGGAGCAAGAAAGAGGGCAGACTCTATGACCTCTACAGATCCTTTCCAACCAGTATTCCTGTCACTGATATTTATAGGAAAACCATGTGGGGCTTGCAGTGTATTCTCTCTGCAGAATTGACCAGCCAAGCACAGCTGCATCAACTAATGTTAGATAATTAAAAAAATTAGGCTATCTACCCCATTTATCACATACTAGATAAAATCAGAGCATAAATTATGAAGGTGAACTACTGAACTTGCAGATTTAGACCTGGCCTTCATTATGGGAATGATTCTTTAAATATCTCGTTACCCAATTGCCCGTTACATGGTGTCAAAGTGCATTATTCTCTTTTGAACTTGTCCTACTATGAGTCACACCCCTCTAACTTCATTGAAACTCCACCGTGAGGGGAAGGAGAGCAGACAATCAATTCTTGGTGGTTTAAATCCCAAAACTAGTTCTGGTACTCTATTCTTGAGCAGGGAAATGCACCATAACATCTGAATGATGATGAGCAGCACGGATTAGGATGTGTATCAAATTTTAAAGCCAAGTTTTCAGCCTGTTTCTAAGAAGAATCTTCATTTATTTATATAAATGGAACAATGAACACTCTTTTAAGGCAGCTAACCACACTAGTTAGTAAAATAAAGTTACAGTGCTGCAAAACCTTGGCCTGGCAAAATCCCCATCATAGAAAAAGTGATCCCGTATTAAGCTATTCCAGAACTCACACAGGTAGCAGCAAAACATGTTTTCTTTATATTTATAGGGTATCTGAAATAAATTGTGAATTGATTTCTGGATTTCCAGTGAAGAGAAGAAAGATTTTAAGGCTCTTTCTTCTAAAGCAGCATGACAAAAGGGAGAAAGGAAAAGAGATTTTTTTTTGCATTTTAGGAACTTTACAAGCCAGTCTGATTGAAACATAAAAAATGCCAACCTATTCACTAGCATTACAGCGAGTATTCAGCACAACAACAGGAGAGGGAAGGACGAGAAGATAAAAAGGTAAGAAATAGGACTATTTATTATTTTTTTTACTGAGACAAACTTGGTATTTAGCCTCTAAAAAAAACCCCAAACCTTCAGTCATGACTCAGCTCCACCTTCTCAAAATAATTTGCTTGCTTACTACCATTCTTCCTGTTGTCCCCTATTTGAGGCTGGAGGAGGAAAGCACATAAGCTAAAATAAGGTGAGGAGTGCTGCCTACTTGTTTTTCCTTTCCAAACCTTAAGTGCATTGGGTTCAGTGCATTCCTCAGAGCCTTTTACCCCTGCATTAATTGTGAGAATTTAGAATTTATCAAAGAAACTTCCATGCTCTCTCTAAATCCAGAAGCTGGATTAACAAACCAAAAAACTTGGGTTTTTGTTGTGCTGCTTACAAAATGTGGATAACTCTCACAAAAAAACCTTACATCTCATATTAAAATTGGTCTCACTGAATGTCTGAAGCTACTTTTAGAGAAATGAGAAGCTCCCCAGCAGAAGCTGTAGGCTCCAGACGTTTTAACCCGTGACTTGGCTCCTGCAGGACTTTCATGCTGTGCTAACTGCAGGGGTGACCTTTACTCACTCTCAGGTATAAAGGAACTAGAGGACAAATTAAGCAACAGCTAGCTGAACTATTTTGTTCCAAAGCCTTCCCCACTCCACATTCAACTGATGTATAGTTAAAAAGCTTTAGGAAAATAAAAGAGTAGCAAAAGTGATGATAAAAAAGGATGAGAAATAAGCTCCCAGCAACTGACCATTGCATCCCCAGGTACCCTTCTTCATCGAATCCAGCAAATGTAGGATCTCTCCCCCTCCTAAACTACCACAGATAAAAGCAAAGCCTCCAACATCAAGTGAGGAAGTTGAGGTCTTAATGCCTGCTCCACAGACTTTGGTTTAATAACTCAGTGCTTCAGTTATTTCTGTGATTACAGCTGGTATCAGCACACCTAAAACATTAGTGCCATACCTGCAAACAGCACTGCACTGCAAAACTGATTCAGGACATTACAAAGGTAAGTAAAAGATAACTCACAACCTATCAAATGTTGTAACAGGAACATCCTGATTACACAAATGACAGACTTTGCATTTGCTAATTGCAGTTACGAGAGATCTCTATAAAGATTATTGCTGATAAGCACGTCTATAAAATACCACCAACTTAACATTATTCCTGAATATTGAACATTATTCCAGCCAACTAAGCTATCCCACCTTGCTTTACAATAATTACTTAATCATTAAAATAAATTTTTATCTCTTCCAAAGTCTAGAGTCTGCCTAAGGAACTTTCCCTTTGATCTCCCTTCTTTAAAGCAGAGATGTGGTGACAATAAACATGTTTGCAAATGTAGCAGAAATTCTCTGCTGCAAGGCAGCCGTGCACTTGAAGAACACCACCAGCGCTGCGGTTCAGAGACCAAAGCAATTCCAAAGGCATTCCTTCCTTAAGGAACGACCTTGACACAGGTGTCCTGTAAAACTTTTTCCATTTCATTGAGCTAATGGTGGCTGCACTGATGATTTTATTTCAGAAATTTAAAGCCTCTGCCCAACACCACATGCATAACCTGAACAGCAAAGCAAGCTAAAAACAGTGACATTCGGAAAAGTCTGGACATCAAAGTTCTTTGTGAGACCAGCCCATCCACGTCTCAATGCTTTGAGAGTTCAAATACAAACTAGAGCTTGCTGTCATGTTGTCACTCCTGCAAATCCCCATTTTAAATAGAAAGTGTGGGAAAGAAGCACAAAGTTTACAGATTTTGGTATTTTTTAGGGTACAGCTGAAACACGCCACATTTCAGAGCATGCAAGCATCCTTTCTATAGCAAAATAGCTGAAAGTGAAGGTTTGAGTTACAAGGGTATTGAGTCTAGAAAAACACAGAGATGTTTTCACACCTAGCAAGGAAAGCAAGGTCTCTGTGCAGGTTTATAGATCTATGTACACATGCTGCAGAAAAGCAAAGCACTGCAGTTCACCTCTGTAACCTCAGGGCAGAACTGGAAGGACTCCTTGACAATCTAGAGAGTCTGAACAAACAGCTGGATTTCCGACAGCAAGCAGGGATGAACCAACAAAGACATTTCACAAGCACTTTCCCTTGAGCTAACACAGAACCGCACCACGAAGGAGCGCTGACAGCCCGCATCTCCCGGAGGCGATGTCGGCAGCCGGGAAAAGGCGCGATCTCCCTTCGGAGCGGCAGCCCCAGGACAGGGAGGCTCGCCGCGTTCCGACGGGGGCACACCCCGCCCTCCCCGCGCGGCCCGGGGGACAGGGACAGCCAGAGCCGCCGCCAGGCCGGCACCGACCCCACGTCCCCGCCCGGAAGGTCACCCCGGCGCGGCTCCGCGGGGGCTGCAGCGAGCCCGGGGCGCCACCATGCCCGGCTTCTCTGGGCGCCACGACCACCGCCGGGTCACCCCTGCCCCTCACTCCCGGGCCCTGCCGGGAGCAGCGCGGCCAGGCGGGGAGGGCGACGCCATTTCGGGGTCACCTCCGCCTGCCGGAATTCCCTGCCCCGAGCCGAAGGAACCCGAGGGGCGCGGTGCCGCCGCGGGCCCGGTACCGACCATGTCTGCGGGAGCGGCGGATCCGCTGGCTGCTCGAGGTCACCTCTGCGGCGCGACTGCGGCCGTGGCAGCGCTGCGCCGAGGTGCCGTGGTGGGGCGGAGCGCGCGGCCGCGCTCGGCCGCCTGGGGGCTGTAGTCGTGGTCGCCGCGGGCCAGCGTCGCTTGACTGCGGCAAAGAACTATAACTCCCATCGTGCCTCGGGGGCGGCGCGCCGCGCCCCCGCACGCCATTGGCGGTTGCCTCTCCCCACCTCCCCCCATTCATTGAAGAGCCGCGCTGCGCCGGAGGGGTTGGCCCGGTAGGGGGCGGTGTGCGGTTGCCTTCGCTGCGCGTGCGCACTGTTGGGAGGGGTGGGGGCTGCGGCAAGCGCGGGCTTCTCGGAGTGCGCATGCGCGCTCAGCGGCCAGGCTGCGGGAGCTGCGCATGCGTGGGGGGCGGTGCGCGCGGTTGCTGCGGTGACGCGCGGGACAGGCCCCGGTGCCGGCGGCGCCGCGCCCGCCCCGCGAACTCGGAGCGCTCGGTGGGTGCGAGTGCGCGGCCGGGCCCTGCCCTGCCCTGCCCCCGGGGCATTCCCCCGGCGCGTCCCGGAGCCGCGAGCCCGGGGCGGGCAGGGCGTTCCCCTCGCGTTTCCCGCGCGATTCCCTCCGCCCGGCCTCCTCTGGGGAGCTGCCGGCGCGTTCCCGGCGCTCCACGCTTCATGAAATCCTGCCATCCTGTTGCTTGGTCTTCTTTTTATTTTCAGGGAAAGCTGAGAGCTTACCTGTGCTATTCCGCTGGTAGAACTGCGTGGCTAAACTAGCGATCACTTGTACAGAAATAAAGCTGCTCGATTCCTTGTATTTCGAATTGTTGAGTGAAGTAAATTCCTTTGGTCTGGCTGTGAGGGAGGCTGGTACCGGCATAAATCAGCACAACAGAGCTTCTAAACTGTTGATAGGCTTTAAAAAAGAAAGTCTTGGATAGCACAGCTGATTTTTCTTTTCCCACAGATCCTGACAGGATTCCCAGTTAGTTTTTTGTGAAGGTCTCACAAAAATCATTGAAATCTTACTCTAGTCCTTACAGCAGTATTTTAAAAAGCGGTCTAAGGAGCATGTGTCCTGAGGCAGTTTCTTCGGCGCCGCGGCGGACAAGGGAGGCTGCTCCTTTGGGGCAGGGGCTGTGAGGCGCGGCTCGTGCCGCAGCGCTCCCGGTCTGGCGGCTCCTGCTCCCGCCGGGGCTTCGCGGAGCCTTGGGGAGCCGGCAGCGGGGCCCGCCGCTGCCCGGGTGCAGCCCCTGCACTGCCGTGCCCCAGCTCTCGGGCTGCATGTAACATCTGTTAATGACCCTGTGTTTTTAATACGAATGAAGCCTGTAGCCAAGTTCCCTTCCGCGGGTGAGTTTGAAAGCCAGATAGCTGCGAGCAGAGCTGAGGGCTGGCTGGCTGGGAAGCTTGGTCAGGAGGAGGGAGCTTGTTTAACACAGTTTCCCAGAGTGTCCTAAGATGCTTTACCCTGGCGACTCTTAACCTTTTCTGCACCCAGACGTTATACAGACTTAATTAACACTATTTAAGATTGTTTAAGATTTAAGTGTACACAAAACCTGATATGGACCCACATAAGGTAATTTCCACTGACCATAATTGGTTCAGTTTAATTGATTTCTTATAAATTTTCAGGTAAATCAATGTTGGCAGGCTGTAAACTGATTTGTCTGTGTTAGCTTACAGATTGTATTGATTTAATGGATTTCAGTTAAGAGCTTAACTTGAAATTTTCAAACATTTTTTCTGCAGATGACTCTCCTTATTCTTACTCCTTTTTTGCCCAAGCTTGTGCTCCTGGAATTTTTTGCTGTTGGAATAACAACAAATCTTGTTACTTTGTGTTGAAAGCGATTTGTTTTGGTGCAAAGCCATGTGTAAATGCTTTTGTTTGTCAGAACCATGTTTATCAGTTTATCTTCAGTATGATTAGTCCAATTCCAGTATGATTAGTCCAGGTTGGATTCAGTTGTTGTCTGTGCTGGTTTAACTAAAAATACTGTAAAATTTTGCCTTTTATGAATGTGGTGTAATTTTTAAAGTCAGCAAAACTTAAGAGTTCTAGTATTTCCTTCTTATATTTTGTTTCTACGTGTTAAGCTTTGATGTTTTCTAAGTAAAATTTAAATGTAATTTAAAAAAAATTCTTTAATGCTCCCCAATGTTTCATTAGTACGAGTCTTTCGTGTAGCACTGTAAGCCAAAAAGCTGCATAAATATAAACATTACATGCAAATGAAGTGATGGAAATTTAGTGTGCATCTGAATTGGGCTCTGGGCTAACTTTCAAATACACTTTGCAATTTTTGCACTCAAAAGATACTAAATTATGTGGAAATCAGTAATTAAACAACACACTGAAGTATTAAGATGTTTTAATCTCCATTTTCAGGAGATTAAGTATTATTTTTCAAGGCAACTGGTAGTTTTGAAGGGTAGTCTGCCAGAATTATCTCTTAATATTAAAAAAATAAATTAAAATGAATTATTCTCTGTTAACAGCTGGCTGTCTTCTTTAACTGTATTTTGGATGGGATTTTCTTTTCCTTCATTGCCATCTATAGAAACTGATGACTATTTTTAGGTAAGTTTTTACACTTCATTTTCAATAATTTGTAAATTATTCTTTTTATCAACCTCTCTATGTCTAGTACAGGTTTCTTATCTTATGCATTTACTTACAATTGTTGTTACCAGGTCATGTCTCTTGTAGCTAAGTCTGTGTGATATAATTAACATTTAAAACGCACAAGACTATGTAAGAAAAATTAACTATATAGTGACCAGGTTCAAACCTAGAAATGCTAGAATTGAAATAGTTTTGTAAATCTCTTCTGTGTTCTGGTCCAAGGGAGTAATAGTAAGAGATTTTTCAGAAAGAAGGTAAAACATTACAAAAAATACTGAAATAGAATTAAGAGGATCAAAAGTTATTGTGTGAAGTGTGTGACAAATCTGTAATAGATTTTTAAAAATATATAGATATGAACAAGAAATATTAAAATAGTAGTTTAGAAAATTAAACATTTTTTTTTTTTTTTAATTCCTAGTGCTAATGTCCCAAACATAATTTTTCACCATTCATTTCTAAACTTCAGTCATGTAGTACTGCATGGACATTAAATGTCATGAAGAAGATAATCTATAAATTCCATTTATAATCCAGATTTTGTTTTTGCTGTGGTGAAAACTTTCTTTCTAAAAGAGAAATTTTACCTTCTATGGAAGTGATTTAATTTCTTATTGCTTATTTTTAATTTCTTAACAGCTTAGTTGGTTTTTAAATTGAAGTTGGATAGTTATCATCAATTGATTTCTACAGCCCTCAGCATGTTTTTAACAGGTAGCTATGATGCAATAACACGTCCTGTGCTCATGTGCCTGCTGCCTATGAAGAGACACAAATGGTCTGTAGCTTGCCTGTAGTATGTATTAGTAATCTTTATGAACTATTCATGAGTCAAATATTAATAAAAATTGTGCACAGAAAGTTCTTTCTTATTTGCTTTCCCTAGGTAGGTTGATAGTACGGGCAGGTATTGTGGGTTTGGCAGGGGACACTGAGAGTTCAGGCCTCCTCTGGTGTGGGTGCACATCACATCTGAGGTGGGTGCTCTGGTGCCTGAAGGAGTTCAGGGCTCCATCACTGACCAGAGGGGCTGGTGGCACAGTGGCTTCCTAATGGCACCCCCAGAGCTGAGGGACCCTGGAAGATCTGTCCTCATCCCCCACCCGAGTGCCACTTCTGGAGGGTTTTCTTCTCACGGTTGTTACAAGGTCTGGGCTGCAGAGAATGCCTGTTTAAAAACAAAGCCAAACAAAACCAACCCACAAACCAAACAACCACATCAGACACGGCACAAAAACTTTGGCATATTGGCTGTAAATTCAGCAAAGTTGATCTCTGAATTATTGCAAAGTGAACAGAAGGGTTGTGCTCCTGGTGCATGAGAAGTAGTTTACTGTATTCTTCTACCTTAACACAAATCTGTCTTTCTCTTGGTTGAGCAGACACTTTGTGACAGCGGTGTGTGGATTTTGTACTCACTAATGTCACTGCCTGGAGGAGAAGAGGCAGGTTGGTGTTCTAGAGAGGAGATGACCTGTGTAACAATTCAAGTTCTACAAAGCAAACCTTGTACTCTTAAAGTTAATTCATTGCAACATTAAAAAAAAACCCAACGTGAGCACCAGCACCCGTTCCCCCACTAGATGTAAACATTAAGCTGATGTCCTTGTGAGTTTTTAAATGAGGCAAGCATTTAGTCAAGTGAATCAATTTAGTCAAGGGAAACAGGTCCTACTGAAAATAAATGTTTGCTTTTTCTCTCGTAAGACTTTCTTTTGCATTTGTTCATTATAACCTGATAATGAGGTTATACATTTTGAACAAGAAGCTAGCAACCATAATGATGACTTTCCCTTTTTTAGGTGCAGTGCAGATGGGTGAATCTATCTGCTTCCTTTATCCATCCTTTCCATGTCAGAATGACTGATGAATGCTCTTCCATGCCAAATCTTGTAACTGCAGTTACAAGAGTTTTTCTCATTAGGCTTATTTCTATGAATTATGGTCACATCTTTTGCTTAAAATATTTCAGCTTGTTTTACAACATCCGTGTGACTTTATTTATGTATTTTTGCAGAACCAAATTCTTAATAGCTGCCACTATACAAACTAAATTTTTCTCCTTTTTTCCCCCCAAGAATTAAACAGTGTTTCAAAGAAAATATCCATAGAAATACCAGTGGAAAGAGAATGATGTGTTACGGTGTTGATTTTTAAAATTTTTTGTTAATTGTGTAAAATATAATTCTTTATTGATAGAAAAGACTGAATTTTTTATCTTAATGGCATTATTCATAAGTGAAACATAATTTTCAAACATGAATTTATCAGTAATAAGTGTAATAATTTGTTTCCTATATGGAGGTTTTCCTGCTGTTTAACAAATTCATTTTGGTATCTGGTCTGCTTTTGGAATCCTTGTCCAAACTGATTTTTAGGCAGCAGCAGAGTCTATGGGTGGCTTTAGTAGCATATATGCTTATAATACTGGCCATATTCAGTGTCTACTGATATTTGAGTAAAGAAAGAGGAAATTGCCTTTATTGATTCTGCTCACATAAACACAAGTACTCTGCACATGCCTGTACTCATTCAGTTGCACACTGTAGGGCTAAACAGCCCCATCTCTGGATAAAATTCCAGCTGTGTGGACTGTATTGTCCATACCAGTGATACATAACTTGGAGTTTCCTGTTGCTCAAAAACAGGCATGCATATATTTTTTTGTTTTTCTTTCAGTTCAGTGTTGGGCAGGGTTATGTTGGAACCCATGACCATGGCCCTCAGGCTCATGCTCAAAGAAAATGTTAGAAACTTTTGGGTTTGTCATGAAGTCATTGAGAGTTGTCCTGTCAGGCTGGGATGGTGTTGAGGAATTAGTTAATTTGAACTCAGGATAGTCATGTGCCCAAGTATGAACAAGAAGGGAGCAATGGCCACAGAAAAATATTGGGTAATTGGCCACTTATATCGTGACACAAATGCTGGAAAGATGCTGCATCTTTGGCTGATGGAGGCTTCTCCATGAAGTAATCAAGCAACAGGAATCACAATTGCAGTTTGTGTTTTTCTAGTTTCCTTTTAGAATGATACAGCTATGCCTTTCTGCTCAACTTGCCATCTACCCTTACCTGTAAAGAGTAGCCATGGTAAAGCACTAACACAGATGTGGTGAAAAAATTGGACCTTAATTGGATAAAGGCCTTTTGAATATTTTGAGTCCTATTGGAAAGGCGTTGCTCTTGTCTGTATAATGGAATGTGTTTTTGTTTCATGGCCTGTAATCCCATTTATTTACAATAATGGGCCAGATACTGTTTTTCAAGTTGCTTACTGTCTGATACGGGGGAATATAAAGTATTGCTCTGAAATGGCCTTTTCCTGTCATAGTTGCCTGACAGACAGGGTCTGGCCTCAGTGTGTATTAGGCAAGGGAGCTAGAAATACACCACAGTTAAATTATGGGTTTGTATCTCCAGGTGGTGCGTGAATTCGTGGTTGAAGACTGAAGAAATTAATTTTGCTAAAGCAAGAAACAACAGGACATTAAGCTACTATGCCAGCTTTAGATGTACGCTTCAAAAATTTTCTGCTGCTCAGCATTATTCAGTAATCTTTAACTCAAATTGCAGGAAATATTTGAAATTCCATTCTAACAATATCCAACAGAGAATATTAAAGAAGCATTACATTTCAAATGCCTGAGGGAAAATGTTCTCTTGCAACACCGTGGGCATTTGGATCTCACTAGTATACGCAGTATTATAGTCTAGTATTATGCTTTACTTGGTCTAAAATGAAAGCCCAATTTTAATTCTATCTCCAAAAACTTGGCATACTGCAGTGAAAAATAATTTATTTGAATGTTGTTTTTTTAATACACTGCAACTAACTTTAAAGCTTCCTCATATAATACTCCCACTATGGCTTTTTGTAATCTGACCCTTTCATTAAGACTTCAAATATATTCCCAAAGACTTATCTCAGTGCTTTCATTGCTAATTTACAAGTTAAAAGATTCCAAAGTTACCTAAGAAGTTTTTCTCATTCTATGCAATTTTTCTCTTAATAAGACAAAACTTTTGAGTATCTTTGTAAATATATAAAACACCAAACAGAGGAACTAAGACACTCTTAAGGAAGGTAATATGCAAATGCAAAATAGGGTTTAATAATATATACACAATTCTGGGCTGGGTAATTCAGTAAACCCGTTAATCAGCTTCCTTAAAAACGTGCTGATTACACCTTTGGGGTTTTATAACCTATATATGCTGTATTTGATAGGAAAGCTATTTTGGAAATGAATCCCCAGCTTACAAGGTTTGGGGGAAAAATAAAATTGTATCAAAAAGACTTATAAAATCACTAGCTTGAATTTCTTACCATCTAAGGATTTCAGTGTTGCCAGAACAAGGACAAGTGCCATGTTTCTGTTGGAAAAATAAGATCTGTGGTCTTTAGAGAAATAGAATAGGGCAGTTCTCTACGTGCTGCTCACATTTTTCTGTTTGCACTTGACTATCACAGAGTCATGCCCAGGAGAATGCCAATACCGTGATACTTCTTACCTCCATGGAGTTTCACAGGAGGCAGTTTTTTAGCAGTAGTGGGTCACTTGCCTGTGTAATTGGACCACTTGTGACTCCCTGACAAACTAGATTGGAGGGGAATGTGATTCAAGGACTTGAAACCTGCAGAGATAATTCAGAACAGCAGCGTACTGCAGATGGTTTATTTGTTCAATGTAGCCATGTGGGACATAAATTAATGAAGTGTCATTAACAGTACCATTAATTTAACTGCAGTGCTAGGCTCTGTCCTTGCTAAATGAATGCCACTGATTCCTATAATGAAAGCTAGGAATCCTCTGCAGTGCTGGCGGAGATCAGCTTGCCTCCTGAGGGCCGCTGGTGAGCTCTGAGTTGCCACATCCCTTTTCATGGGAACTGAACATTGATAAGGTATCTTCTTTTCCATTGTCCCAGAAAGTTGAGTAAGTAGAGTGATCCATT